AAATATATTTCTAAAACACATACTCAGCAACACTTTGGGCAAAGGTTGATAAAGTGATCATTATTATTGGAGAAAGCCTTGCGAATACTGATCCCATTCGCCACAACTCATAGGTGTGAAAGTGGACTTTTGCCAATGGTGACAATGAAAATAAAAACTATGACCTGAATTAATTTGGAATGCGAATTACGATGTGTATTGGTCGAAGGCGCAACAAATATAGCAGAACTTGGTTAGAACTAAGCACTATCAGTAGCCTCATTAACGTATAACACATTTGATTTAATAGAATACGCTCAAAAATATGCGCTTTCTATATTTGAATGCTGTAAAGCAACTAAAAATAGTATTCGTTTGCGCTAATTTAAAGTGTGACAAACAATTTAATTAGTGTTTCAAACTAAAAGTTTTTATGGTAATATTTTTATAGTGATAGACCCGTTTTTTGAGTGACAGTCTCAACAAGGTTGAGATCCACTTATCTAAAGCCTGTCATGTCGAATTGCTATCGCCCCAACAATCTACCGACACTTGTGTTTCGGAACAGACTCGACAACAATGAACTCTTCCCACTCAGCCGACGTGTGAATCCAGTGTTTCCTCCTCACTCCCATCCACACTTGTCACAAACCCCGATATATCTAGGCGTACGCGCTCCGAAGGTACAGTCGCTTTTCCACCGCGACTTGTGACTTACGAAAGTTAGCGCCCGTCAAACTTTTGCCCCTTCGAGTGAAGCCATAGGAGGGAGAGTTCTGTAATGTTTGTACATTTCATACTTGTAACAGAACTTCCTTACTCCTCTTCGCATCATTATTGTACAGTTTGTTTGAATTAGCTCGATCGGTACATCCTCCTGCAAATCTCGGTCTGTGTTGTCGCTCCGGGGCGCTGCATGCGTTTTTGTCGTGATTGCTGTGCGCGGTGCTCTACGCCCAAGCGGCTAGAAACAATCGCCATGATCGCGCAACACTATCCACTGGATCTTGCCACTGGACAGAATCCTACGAAATCGGAAGCCTACTGCTGGTCAGTGACCGTTTTGTCTGAGCCAACTTGTGGTGGGCTCACACTACTGCGCCATTTATCAGTAGTATGGCAACCCCAGGATGCGAAACTGCAACCAGTCAACAGCAGGCCGTAATGCCTCCCCAGAAATGAAGCTTTTTGAACCGCAGTTGTATGATCGCGAGGAATGCACGCACAAACAAGGCACAACACACAAATTCTAGACACAGAAGGGAACCAACGCCACGTAACCTACTGCAGGAGTTGCGAAGATGAGTGAATGTCTCGTTTATCGGAACGTATAAGCTAGGTTTGATGCAACAGCTAATTCCGCTTGCACCTCAGGTTGAACAACAAGGAATTTATCCGGGTTAAGAAGCAATGCTTTACTTGTCCCCTTGGGTGGTTTTGTAGGGCTATCGAAAAACAAAAAAAGCAGTGGGTTACTTACTTTTAACACGGACACCGTTTCTTTCGCTGTTCTCCTGTGGTCAGTGTAGTCTCACAGCACGAACATGTAACAGCAAATAAATCCAAAGTACATTACAGGAGTGGAATGGAGATGTAGTACAAGGCAACAAAGTGTTGGTGAGTATGTGCATCATCCAAACGTCTTTTAACTATGGGTGGTGATGGTGCAAAACTGACTGCTTCTGGAAGAGCATTCCACGGGTGACACACGCGGATCGAAACGAAATTCCTGCGGCAATCCAAACGGCTCTACTGTTCTGCCAGTTTTAGTTAGTTGGTATTACTGTTAAGTTGCAGTAAAGAGCGACACCCATGGTGTGCGTCGTGCAGAATAAGAACACCATTAGTAAGTCACCTTGTAAGCGGCGGTAACGTCCACTGAATACCCCCAATCGTTCCAGCCTCTCCTTGTATGGAAGATGGTGCATTTTAATAACGTTCTTTTATACTTGAAGTAGGGGCTGCTCCAATGCACTTAGGGCGTGTTTTAGCCATGCGTACCAGGCTTGAATTGCATATTGGACATGAGGACGAATATAGGCACTAAGCATCAGCCGGAAAATACAGAGATCTATTTGTCCGATAACCCGTTGTAACAGGCCCACACGTTGGTTACCAGTTTTGGATGCTTTCGAGGATTACCTGGAATAACGCAAATCATCCTGAATCAGTACGTCCAAACACCTTCGGTGTCAGCTCGCTGCAGCACATGCGTTCCGAGCCTGTAACAGTGGTTGCTCTGTACCGTATGGACAGCACCTTGCATTTACTCACATTGGATTGTAGTGAATTTTGGATGGACCACTGATGTGCCGCATGGATCGTTCTGAAACAGTTGCTGGTCAGTATTCCACTGAATCTTGCGCCAAATCTTGACGTTATCGGTGAACAGCAGGAAGTTAAATGTAATTGCCTGTGTGAGGTCATTGATAAATACCCAAAACAATCGGGGATTTAGCACCAAGCCTTGAAGTACACCACGTTCAACTTGTATCGGGTCAAAGAAGGAGCTCCGAACTCTAACCACTAATCATCACGGAAGCAGACAGTTAGCGATCTAGCTTAGAAGAGGATCACCTATCCCGTAACGCTGTAGATTGGAAAGGAGTATCCAATGCTTTCCAGAAATACAGATAGATCACAGCAACTTCTTCTCCAGCGTCAGTTGACTGAGTCCATCTACTCAGTGCTATTGGCAAATTCGTTGTGCACGATCGATTTCGACGGAAACCGTGCTGCGCAGAGATAATAATGTTAGAGTTTTCCAACTAGCCCACTAGCGCATCAGCTATGATGGATTCCACCTTGGACCGTATAGGGAGAAGAGAAACTGGGCGGTAGTTTGAAGCCTCGGTTCTACTTCCACGTTTTTAAATAGAGGTTGTTATTCCAAGCTTCCACATGTCAAAAACTTGGTTCTGATCTAAGCAGCGCTGGTAGAACTAAGACAGTGGCTCTGCCAGCTGACATGTTGCTGCTCCCAGTTCCTCTGGGCGAATAGTATCGACACCCGGGGATGTGTGCTTTCGTAGAGTGGTCAGCATCTACAACACAGCTTCGGCGGTAAAGAAGATGTGCGTGAGTTCCGGCGGCGGGGCTAGAAAAGCTGAAGGATCTTCTGATGGTAATACCCTCTGGAAGGTGGAGGCGTATTGCATCCACTGCGCGTTTGCTGCTTCCGTAGCCTTTCGTGTTGGACCATCAGCCGTCGTGAGTAGCGGAACTCTTTGCCTCATCTTCCGTAGACCATTGACGTGCTTATACAGCAGTTTGTGATTGGTGCTGAAAGTTTTGCCATGTCCTGCTGATACTTGGCTTTGTCTTCTATGAGCAGTTGAAGGCAGTGGTTTCGTAGGGCTACGTGGTCATCCCAGCTTACTGTTGTTGGTTATAATCTATACCCTCGCCACGCTGCGTTGTGTTCTGCCAGCAATTTTCAAGTTCTGCAGCTTACGTAAGTAACTGTTGCAGACCGTTTGCCAACTTTTGTCTCTGAAACATCCGTAACCAGTCGATTGTATTTGGTTACGAACTCAACCCAGGCGACATCGGACGCTCTTCGCCGAGGGACAACCAGGTAGTTGCATTGACGAGGTGGACTACTCAGTAGTAGCATCTGATTGTTCGCGCCGTCTCATGGTCCGCATCTACCTATCCTGCGTAGGAGCCGAAGTTGAAACTAATAACTGCATGATCACTACGAGCTAATGAGCAGTCTACAATGAACGCCCCAATCATATATTCTTCTTTGGCAAGCACATGATCAAGCACAGTTAGCCTATTACCTGTTCTGAACAGAGTGGGCGAAGTAAAATGATTATAAAGCAGAACACTGGTTACAAGCTCCTTCAAACCGGCTTTAAATTGTTCTCCTCTTATGGCAGGGGTTTCGAAACTATGCACCTTGAAATCACCCATGGTCAAGCTGTGAGTGTATCTTCCTTTTAGAGTTCGCCGTAGGGCAATCGTAATTTGGTAATCCGTTTCAGATGTATAGTTAAAGGGGCGGTACACCAAGGCCATAAGCTAAGTGTCTCTGCTTCTAAACTGCAGGCTGCACCAACGCGAATCAGGAATCAGCGAATCTGAATCCTCCTTGACCTCGCACTGTAAGTCACTTCGGTAAGACAGAATTACACCCCCTCCTTTTGTCAGTCTGTTGTCCAGAATGAGTGACATGCCAGGTAGCGAAATTTCAGCGTCCCTCATTTCAGTGTGTAACCGCGTCTCCGTGATACCAATGATATATTCCCGGGAAATCTGGCGATCTTTCAGTTCGGTCAGTTTACTTAAAGGGCCTTGGGCACTTGTGTACAAGCAGGCTAGTTTATCCTTCTCTAGTATCCCACAAGGGATGAAGGAAGTCAGGTGTGTGGGTATGCCGACCGTTGTGAGGTCGGTCGTTGTTCGCCTTTTTGATGAGATACTGATGGTACTTCCATACCTTGCTCCGGCCAAGATACATTTTAACCCTCAGCTAGATCTACGTCAGTAACGGGTAAGGGAGCCATCATCGCCAGTACGTCTGCTTTTTCAGTTGATTTCTTAAGTGGACCTTACGAAGCATCTGCAGTCATTAACCGTAATTTCGATGGAAAGCTTTTTCGAATTTGTGCCAACTAGGTAACACATCCATCGTCGCTTGCGCGGATAGAACCACTTCCATATCCCCTATAATTTGGCGAGATAGTTAACCTTTTGAGCGATTGCGTCACAACAATATCCAAGAAGTGTTTCGCGGATGAATCGCCATTGTTCTAAGTCCTGATTTCTGGCCTCTTGACTATCGTGTGAAGGATGCTCTGGCACGTTTTCTTTGAAAGAAGAGCGCAGCATTGTACTTACAAATGCTGACAAGGGAATAACCCTGGGTGCAATGAATAGGTCAGGATACTTGAAAAACATGTGACAACATTTGGAGACGGGTCCATATAGTGTAGTTTTTAATAAGACCGTGGCGCCAGTAATGAACAAGAGTAAAACGGAGGTTGGTAACTGTTGTATACGAAAAGGTCACTCTCGGAAACGGACTGCTGTATTCTGAACAATGTCTAACTGGGTGAGTACAATAAGGTTTCGCAAGGAGAAGGATGAACCAATAAGGAAGTAGAGAATTAGACGCTTTGTGTGTGTGTGTGTGTGTGTCTGGGTTGTATGCACGTGTCTGTCTAGACTAGACGCCCAGACAGCTGACAGAATACACAACATCACCTCTCCGCTTAATCGTATGAGGCGTCAAAACCATATCGATACGGTCGTCTTTGTTCTCGGCTCGTCCTGCGGAGCTGCGTGCTTTGCGTTGGCTCGTCAGTGAAGTTTGGTGGTATTTGCCTCGTTCGTCTGATACTTGTGAATAATCGCCGGGAGTTGACTGTTCGGCCATCCTCCAGCCGGTAAGTGCCTGGCCCACATGCATGCATTATTCTTATCGGATCTGATAACGTGGGTTGTCCTTTTGATGCAGCGTTTACCTTCACGCGCACGAATGTTCCGGGCTGGAGCGGCGTAGTATGCTTCTGGTAAGTGGTCTGATATCGATGGCGACGATCTAACTCGTCAGAATTATTGGTTGCAGGAATTGGAAGTGCGGCATTCAACTTTGTCCGAAGGACACGCCCAAGCATGAGTTCAGCTGGCGTTTTGTCTGTAGCTCGGTGGTGTGCGGTTCGGTAAGAAAATAGTGCTTGTAGAACTGCATCCTCCCAACCTGTACCAGATAAGCGAATAGCTTGGATACTCTCTTTCAAGGATCGATTGAACCGCTCTACCATGCCATTTGCCGCTGGATTATACGGCGTTGTACGTGAGTGTCGGATAGCGTGAAGTTGAAGGAACGAATGAAACTCATGGCTTGTAAACTGCGGCCCGTTGTCCGTCACTATCTCCTCTGGTAATCCGAAGCGGGAGAACATATATTTCAGCCATCGAATAATGCTGGCAGTAGTCACCTCTCCACACAAATGGACTTCCGGCCACTTACTGTAGAAGCAGGTCGCTACCAAACAGTTCCTTTGATGCTGAGGCGCTGAGCTAAATGGACCCATGATGTCAACAGCTATCTTGGCCCACGGTCGCATAGGATATTCAATGGGTTGTATAGGGGATGAAACCGGCCTTGAACTCTTGTCTGCCCTTTGACATGAAGAGCAGTCATGAACAAGGTTTTCTATTTCGTGTGACATTTTGGGCCACCAGAAACATGTGTCAACCTTGCGTTTCGTACGAACGATACCAGGGTGGCCTTCGTGAGCACATAGCATGATCTTTTGTATCAAGCTCCGAGGAGCCACAAACTTTTCGCCACGCATTAAACATCCATCTATAACTGAAAGTTCGTGACGCAACACGTAGTACGGACGAAACTCGCCTGTGATCTTATTGTTTTGTGGCCAACCGTTTAGCAGATACTCCTGAACGTGGCAGAGTGTCTCATCTTCCTGAGTGGCCTTCTGGAGTTCTTCCCTAGTCAGGGCTGAGATTGGTTCATTACTCAGCGAAGACACCAGTAATCTCTCATTATCATCCTCATTATTTTCAGTTTCGTTGAGGGGTAGTCGAGAGAGCCCATCCGCTACCTGGTTTTCGCGTCCGGGACGGAATTTGATTTGAAAATCGTACGTTAACAATCGTGCATACCAGCGGTGTATCCGAAGTGGCCTGATGCCATTTGTTCCTCGAGTAAGTAAACTAGTTAGCGCTGCGTGGTCTGTACGAAGAGTGAAGGGTCTTCCGAACAAGAACAGATTCCACTTCTCACAGGCCCAAACACAGGCAAGGGCTTCTTTTTCCCCGGCAGAGTAAGAAAGCTCCGCCGCCGACAATTTTCTGGAAGCGTAAGCAATAACTCTTTCATGCCCATTTTGAATTTGAGATAGTATAGCCCCCAACCCAATGTTTGATGCATCAGTAGAGACAATCGTTGGGCACGTCTCGTCGAAAATCGCCATAACTGGTGTGGAAGCAATGCGGCGTTTTATCTCATCAAATGCCTTTTGTTGGGGTGGACCCCAAACAAATACACTTTTCTCCTTTGTCAGTTCACGCAGTGGCTCAGCAATATTTGTGAAATCCTGCCCGCGACGCCAGTGTTATATACGAAAAGGTCACTCTCGGAAACGGACTGCTGTAATCTGAACAATGTCTAACTGGGTGAGTACAATAAGGTTTCGCAAGGAGAAGGATGAACCAATAAGGAAGTAGAGAATTAGACACTTTGTGTGTGTGTGTGTGTGTCTGGGTTGTATGCACGTGTCTGTCTAGACTAGACGCCCAGACAGCTGACAGAATACACAACAGTAACTATTTAAGAACCGTGAAAGACGAGTTAGGAACAGGCAAATCGTACAGTCTATGTCCAAAATCGACTTTACCTCCGAGGGTTTATGGCTTGCCAAAAGTTCACAAACCCGAAGTTCCCCCCCCCCCCCCATACCGACGGTATAGGCTCCCCGATCTTGAACTTGAACTTGCTAGATATTTGGCAAGGCTATTGCAGCCTCTAACAGTGCGAACGAGTATATTCGTACAAAACTCTTACGAGTTCCTTCAAAAGATAGCAAGCCTCAAAATTGAGTCACATGAGTTGAGGGTCAGCTTCGATGTCACGTCACTTTGCACAAATGTACCCAAAGAAGAGGCGCTAGGCATAACAAGACGTTGTCTAAATGAAGACGTCACTGAGTGATCGGGCGAAACTAACGGTTAACCAGATAATCCAGGGTATGACACTGCGTCTTAACATGTTTTACTTCATTTTAGATCGAAGCTTTACAGTCAGGAACTAGGTCTCGTCATGAGATCGCCAATATCTCCTGTACTGGCAAACCTGCATATGGAAGACTTCGAGAACAGGGCGTTAACAAACACCATTAACTCATCAAATTTCTAGTGGCATTATGTAGACGACATCTTTTTGCTGGTTAAGGAGAATAAGAAGGACGAATCGTTTGATTACTTAAACGCCATTGATGAGAGTATACAGTTTACTCTTGAGTTGGAACCTTGTAGCGATACAGTGCCATTTCTTGACTGTCTGGTTCATAGGAATGGGAGAAATTTAAAGACGACAATATGTCGCAAGCCAACGGATACTGACGGACTACTCCACTACACTCCGGGTCATCCGAAACAGGTTTACGCTGGGATTTCCTCATCGCTGTTCTACAGGGCACAAACTTTGTGCATGATGGAGGCGGACAAAAGGGCTGAGCGGAATGTGGCAATGAGCAAACTATTAGAAAGTGGTTACCCACGGCGGCTAATCAAACGCCAATTGCATAAAGTGAGGAAACCGGCAATCAAGACCCAAACCGAGTGGATAGAGACGGTAGGAATCCCGTACAAAGAAGACACTTCGGAGGCAATTCGAAGGGTATTAAACAAGGAAATATAAGGGTGATCTTTCAGCGAGGTCGAACGTTACGTTCAGCGCTGGTACACCTAAAGGACCCTCTTCCCAAAGATAGGACGACTGACTGTGTTTATAAAATTAAATGTAAGGACTGCACATGTGTAGATAGGCCAAACAGCGAGAAAATTACGCACACGAATTGCGGAGAGCAGTAGGCGCATTTGAAGACCACTAAGGAACGAGGTTGAATATCCGGCAATAGTAAGAGACTCGGCCGTGGCTGCGCATGCATTAGACACGGGTCACCAGATAGGCTTGGAAAACATAGAGGTCATTTAGAGGGGTATACGATCAACACCTCAGAGGTTGATTACCGAGGCGGTGGAAATTGCCAAATCTGACGACTGCGTGAACAGAATGGAGGGGCGAGTGACCTTAAGCCAGCCAGTTTGACGAACATCGGTGCGTGGATCAGATTGGAAAGTGTAAATCGACTCCCACTGTCAACACTATGAACCTATTCGTCAATGTCCTGATGCCCAAAGGAACACCTGGACTGTTCCCACTGTGACTCAACCACCTGAGGTGGCATCACGAACTGTATCTGTAATGAGACCTTGGCTCAAGACTGTGAAGGACTGTTTCATCTTCCTTAACAACTGAGGCTGAAAACCTTGGAGTCTACAGTGAACGGTATCAACCCCTTCGTGGCGATGTGATCGTGTCATATCAGAGCTTGTGGAATCCCAATCTCCTGAAGTAAATAAACTATGTCACGTTTAGAGGTTAAAAGCTAACGGTGGCCACACAGTTTAGCTAGTTAGAATACCAGTAGAAATTTTTTCGCTTCGTGTGTATAAGCTGTAAAAGCCGTCTCCATTGGCGTTAGTTCTTCCTCCACATTACTGGCATTCAAAAGCGTCGTGACAATGCACCAAGATATTTATATTACTTGACATAGCACTTTCTGACAGCACGTCATTATACGACAAACAATCGATGTGCCAGCTTAACTTTCTCGTGAGTTCAGAAATGGTCCCCTAATTTCCTTGACCTATTTTGTTCCCTGAATCATTCATACTTCCATAAGATGGGAGTTGTCAAGCATTGCCTTTTACTCATGAGAAACTATTGGTCCCATTTTCTGTTACATTGCTTAGCTGGTAGCGCAAAGGATTTGCTCGAATACGTCTATGTTAATGCAGCAAAGCCTGTGGAAACCGCGTGGCACAAGATTATGCTGCGTGTATTTAGTGTTATTGGAGCGAAGACAGGAAGAAAGCTTAGAATGAGATACTCACCAAATTAAAGAAACGCAGGTGAAATGTCAAATATCGGCATATAAACAGGCGTCAAAAATAACACCCATAGTTTCAGCAAGCACTCCTTCAATTGTTATTTCATGCGGTAGTCATAGCATATTTTCCTACCTAGCAACGTGAGCCGATAAGAAAACCATTTCTGACTTATGTGAGACTACTGTGAATAGCAGTGTAAAAGTAACTGCTACAAACCGATTTCGCAAGAATATTTGGTTTCTCAATTACCCTTACTTCCCTTTCGGTGATCACGAGTCCCCAGCTGAAAATGATATTTTAGACAGCGACCCGGGTTTCCTTCACTCGCAGTTGACTCGATGAAAAAATATTTAAACATGAGTTGCCAACACTGTTGTGTAGAGATTCCAACATAGCTTTAACTTTTGTTTTTTACTGCTTTGCAATCGACTGGATTGCATAAGTAGTGGCGCGCTTCCGAATTGGATTCACTATTGCCTCCATTTGTGCGGATCAACTCCAAATACTTACGCCCTTCTAGTGTGTGCAAGTATAGCTGACACATAGCTCCTTGATGTAATCCTGAGTAGGGGCTTTTTGATGTGATCGACTGAGAGTTCACAGCAGTAGCCTTTAAATCCAGTAGTCCTCCACGTGCTCGCAAAGGTACTGGACGGATGTTGCCTCTTGCCTGCACTCGTCAGTAATGCACGTAATTTGGCTCCATTGGAATTCGGGGGATGTACACTACTGGGTATTACGGCCATCCAATGCTATTACGGACCTGTAGAGGACCGCCTAATTTGGAAGCTGTTGCGACGAGCTCTAAATTACACAGCTCTCTGGTAAGCCATAATAATAATAATAATGAGCATATAATCACTTGCATACATACCAGGCTTATCGTTCGAGCACTTAAAAATCTTCGGAACCGATCGGCAAAATCTTGCAAAACCTGGTTGTTACATTTGTTGGGTACGTTTTGGCGTTTGACGAGAAAAGTTCATCGGGTCCTATGATTCAATATACATCGGTTACTGTATCGTATACCGAACGAGAATGAAATCAGACATAGGTTAAACTATCAACTAATGGTGTAGTACAATGTATTTTTAATGCTACTTCGAGTGACGGAGAAGTCTATGGTGGGTGATTTTCGGTGTGTTGATCAACGCTATCCGCATATTTCTGCTCACCAAACTGGTCGGATTAAGATGTTTACCGTGGAATTGAGGTCCTCACCTCATCCAACCTACCAACACAGTTAATAACTTTAAAGGTTTAAACTGGCCCTACAATCAGACACTAGGTCGTTGTACATAAATTCTTCGTAGCGATATCGAGGCTATCCAGCTTGATTCCATGCCC